TCCATAAAACTCCAAAAGAACGGGTTTGGAGAGCTTCTGGGTTGGTGAATACATGGTGGGGCACGGAGAGTGTTGTGCCTGAGGAGAACATTAAAGCCCCTTTCCCCTTCCCACTTACCTTGCCCTATGCATCTCTTCTATCTAGCTGTTCTTGCATTATATACTTTTACAATAAAACCATAATCTAGTAAGTACAATTTTTCTCTGTAAGCTACTCTAGCAAATTAATCAAGCCCGAGGAGGGGCTCATTGGAACCTCCAAACTATAGCTGGTCTGTCAGAAGTACAGATGACAAATTGGGGAACAAGCAGTCTTTTTTTTTTTTTTTTTAAGATTTTATTTATTTATTTGAGACAGAGAATGAGAGAGAGAGAGAGCACATGAGAGGGGGGAGGGTCAGAGGGAGAAGCAGGCTCCCTGCTGAGCAGGGAGCCCGATGTGGGACTCGATCCCGGGACTCCAGGATCACGACCTGAGCCGAAGGCAGTCGCTCAACCAACTGAGCCACCCAGGCGCCTGGGAACAAGCAGTCTTATAAGCTTCAGCCCTTAACCTGTGTGAAATGGTGGTATCTCCCAGTAGACAGGGTTAGAATTGAGTTGAGCTGTGGAATAGCTAGCTGGTATGAGAGAATTAGTTGGTGGTGTTTGGTACCGCTGCTGTACATTAGAATTGGGTACAAAATCTTAGTTGGTAATCAGATGTATACCAGTGTCAGGATTGTACCAGGCAATTGGAGTTTTTCTAGTTATCTTTAATGAGATTGACTTCTAGGTTAAATATATAAGGTTTAGAGAAACTGCTCTTCGTGATTAAAACAATATGAAATTTGCTGGGGCTTTCTTTCTGGCTGCAAAGTGGCCTTTGGTAATAGTCTATATGCAGATGAATCAAAGTTAATTTAGCCACTTTTGAGTTTAGTATTCCCTTTCTTTATATATATAATAGATCTAGTTTGTTACTTATGTACTGAAAATCTTATCCTGCAGATTTATTGTCTATATTTACTCTCATTATTAGAAGAATTGGGTTAAATTTTCCCTCTTGGTGATTGTGGATTTTTCTATCTCCATAATTTTCCTTATATATTTGAAGTTATATTAGTGGATGCTTACACATTGAAGATGTCCTATCTCCCAATGATTTGACTTTTATCATTACAAAATATTCCCCCTTATTTCTAGCAATGCTTTGTGCCTCAAAGTGTTCATTATCAGACGATAAGAGAATTAGCACTAAATTAACTTGGTTAATATTGCATAAATTTATTTTTCAAGTTTTAACACCCTCTAGGTCTTTATTTTGAAATTGTTTTTAGTAAACAGCATTCTATTAGATTTTATACTACTAGATTTTTACATTCTGAAATATGTCAATCTTTTACTTAATGTAATTCATTTTACAGAGGCCTTATATCTACCACAGTTGTTTTTTTACCATTTTCACATATCTGAATTATGTTTGTTTCCCTCATTTGCTTATATCTACAGTAATCAAATACCATTTATTGTGCCTTTTTTCTTCAATTTCTTATATTTACATAATCTTATCATTTTCATAGTTACCTTAAAGATTGTGTCATGCATTTTCAATGTCATGTATTACAATCTGTATCATTAATTTACATCTTCCCAGTGCTGCTAGATGCTTAGACCTGTTAATTTAATTTGCATGCCCTCCAGCTTTTGTGATAAATATGTTTGCATTTTGTTTTGTACATATTTATAATCCATAAGATACTGTTAGTATTGTTTTGTATATTAATTTGAATTATTTTATCCACATATTTAGTGTTTCTTGTGTATTTTATACTCACCTGCACATTCATGCTTCTTCCTGGTATCATGTTTTTGCTGACTGAAAAGAAACACATTTCTTTGAGTGCTAACTGCTGGCAATGATTTTTTTACCAAAAGAAAGTTTTGTTCTCCTTTATTCTTTTTTTTTGTTTTAAGATTTTATTTATTTGACAGAGAGAGAGAGCACAAGTAGGCAGAGAGGCAGGCAGGGGGAGAAGGAGAAGCAGGCTCCCCGCTGAGCAGAGAGCCCGATGCAGGACTCGATTCCAGGACCCCGGGGTGATGACCTGAGCCAAAGGCAGACGCTTAACGACTGAGGCACCCAGGTGCCCAGTTGTTCTCCTTTATTCTTGAAGGTTGTTTTTACAAACTAAAGAATTCTAATTTGGCAATTATATTTACAGAGTAAAAATCTTATTCCATTATCTTCTGCATTCAAACTTTTTGTTGAGGTCAGCCAACTATTTAATTGTCATTCCTTTTAAGCTATGATATTATATATCTGGCTGCTCTAAATATTTCTCAGTGTCTGGTTTTCAAGTTTTTCTATGATATTCTTAGGTGTGTGTTTGTGTGTTTACACTGCTTGAAATTCATTGGGTTTTTTGAAGTAGAGAGGCGGTGTGTTTCCATGCTTCTGGGAAATTCTCTGACTTACTTTTTTTTATTATTTCTATTCAATGTATCTTTCTCCTCCTCAACTGAGACTCTATTTTAATGATTTTAGGTTTATTGATATGTTTCACATATCACTTATCTTAATCTTTAATATCTTTGCCATATGTGTAATTGATATTTTTCATTGTTCTTCTAGTTAATAATACAGTTAATTGAACAATGCAATCTATAACTCAAAGTGTTCACTAATTTCTTAAATTTAGATATTTTATTTTTTCAGCTCTAGAATATATATTTGATAACCTTGAATAGATTCTAATTTTCTGGTGAAATGAGTCTATCCTCTTTCACATAGTTCATTTGTTTTTCTTTCAGTTTCTCTAAAATAGTAATCATGGTGGGTTTTTGTTCATTATCATCTTTTCCACTCTCTGGCTCATCTTTTAGTTAGATGACTTCTAGCTTCTCTTTTACTGTTGTTGTTGTTTTCTCTTTATTATTGGCCATAATTTCTTCCTCTTCATATGTGTGATAATTTTTTATTGTCTGCTACATGTTATATAGAGAACCATAGGCGTTCAGGATAGAATTACCTTTGACTTCAGAAGTTTTCATCTTTCTTATATTTGGAAGATAAGCTGAGTGACTGATAATTGCAATACAATAGCAATTGAGTTTGGTCAGAAAATAATGTAGTTTTAGCAAGACACAGATAGATATCTTACTGTACCTTCTATTGAGAGCCCCTATGCCTCTATTTTCTCAGCTATAAAAGCAATTGGTGACTAGGTTCTGATACTCAAATCTTCAAAACTCAATTCTCTACCTTATATCCCAATCTCCTTCAAAATCAGGTTAATATTTTATTTTTTTAATTTTTAATTTTTTTATCTTATTATGTTATGTTAATCACCATACATTTACATCATTAGTTTTTGATGTAGTGTTCCGTATTTTAAAGGGAAGGCAGTACATGTCCTTTAGGAAAATCCCCTTCCACTAGGTCTTTGTCTCCTGAGTACAACAGATTATAGATATTTCTTCCTTTAAAAGCTTCAACCTGACTCCCCAGCCTCCCACAGAGGACATAAAATCAGCAAATGTGATGTAGAGAAAACTGATTTTGAATCTGATGTCTGGTAAGTGTCTAATCTATCAACCTGTTCTCTTTTACCACTAGAGTTTTCAGGTTTCTCTTTCTTCAACAGAGGCCTTCTAACTGGGAGGGCCAAGTTGATCTTTACTTTGTATTCGGAATCATCACATTACAGGGAATAGTCACTTTGTTTCAGGGGAAAAAGTATTAACATTTTTAATTGTTTTCCTTTCTTTGTAGTTTTTAAGTCTTTTAATCTTCATTTCCTTCACAGTTCTTTGATACTTTAAAAATATAATTTAAAAATGTATTTGATATTATACAATTGTTTTTATAGTTGTTTTCTGAGGGAAAAAAAAAGAACAGTTATCTCCCAAGACCTACCTAGAATTGAAAGCATTTTTTAATCTCATTTTATAACCAAAGAAACCCCAAAATTTGAGAGACAACTGTTATTATCATCCTATCCTTTCTTTTTTTGGTTGGAAAATTGCAATAAATTTAAGTAATTTACTTAAGATGGTAATGGTCAGTGGTAAAGAAAATCTCAAACAAAAACTTCTGACACCTCCTCACTTCCACTTCCCTCATTATACCAAGGTTAGTACTGTCACAGTCAGGATTCAGACAGAAAAAGTAAAACCACATCAGTGACTTTAGAGGGATAGAATTAAGTGTAAGAATTGGGTAAACACATACGGAAGAACAGAACAAGTTAAGGGAGACATTGTGATGCTAACAGGTGAGTAGCCATGAAATACTAACTGTAATTTCATTCAAAGAGTTAAGGAGCAAAGGGAAAAGCTTGGGGGTTACTTAAATCTAAAGACTGAAGGGCTGACTGCATGGATCCGAGATTCAGAACTCTGACAGTAGGTTCTGCTAAGCTGGTGAAGATTTGGGATGTTAGTAGAAAGCTCAAAGATCTGAGACTCAGAATTCTGAGGATGACACACCAGACAGCTATGCTGGTATCTCTCAGGCTGACAGTGAAGTTGGTTTGGAGTAAATAAAAAAAAAAAAAAAAAAATATATATATATATATATATGTGTGTGTGTGTGTGTGTGTGTGTGTGTGTGTGTGTATAGATGCACATATATATAAGATATATACAAATAAGTATTATATACATATATAAACTAAGTATAGCTGCCAGTGTAAAACATGTTATTGAGGTGATATTGACATATGGAAAGCAAATAGAACTCCCAGATTTCCAAACTCTCACTCATTCTCCCTGTTGCAGATCCCTATAGGAAGAGGGCTGGTAGAGCAGAAATGTGGTCCATGCAATGAATGTACAAAATGGGAAGGGGATTTGAAACTGAGAAGCAATAACTTAAAAACTGGTACACAACCCATGTGCCATGTTTTTTCCCAGAAAATATAAAGAAACAAATTTTAGGAAAAATGAGTCTTCTAATTGCTTAAAATAATGAAGAGTAAGTAGAAATATTCCAGGGATTACCTTTTTTTAATGAATACTTATTTGGGTACACTTTTTATGCTTGATGACCTTTGTTTCCCACTTTGACCCTGGCGAACCGATATGCTAGATTGACTCCGAAAACTTTGCTGTGTTTTTGGAGTCTCACTCGGAGATTTTGGAGCCTTTTGTGGTGGCCTTGCTGTCTGACTCGGAGCCTTTTGTGGTGGCCTTGCAATCTGACTCGGAGCCTTTTGTGGTGGCTTTGTAGGTTCTGTTGGAACCTTTTGTGGTGGTTTTGTAGGTTGAGTCGAAACTTTTTCCTCTTTCTTTTTTCTCTTCAGACAAAGGTAAAGAAGACAACATAATAAGATAAGCAACCAAAAAAGTGAGAATATTAACAGGTGACTCTTCTTTAGCCTTTCTCTCTTAGGGGGCGGGCCACTATCAACACTACCTCCATTGCCCTTTATTAGGCAGTTGGGTGGGTCCCACATATAGTTGCAATGGCAGTGATGTTTATTGTTGCAAATGCCCCTCATGTTACAGAACTTAGGTGAACAATTACTATCCAAGTGAGATATATGGACACACTTCCTGTGAATGCAGACATGTTCTGGGCCACACTCTGTGCCATCATTCACGTAACCAATATCAGGTTTGGGCATCCCAAAGTGGTAGTCAAGACCCCAGCAGGTGCTGTCATTGAAGTGGGACTGATACACAGTAGAATGGTCCCTCAAAGAGGGAATTGCCTTCACATCCGTACACTGAAGTCTCCCACACAGGATATCTGAGATATTACATTTTACATATGAAGACAGTTTGGTACCACAGTTACCAAAACGGTCACCAACAGTGTTTATATTTTTGTAGCAATTATGACTTGCACTCTTTGCCTCTTGGCCAAAAATCTGCCTACACAGAGCATTGCGGTCATTACATTTCTTTTCATAGCAATAGGCACTTTCATTACAGGGAATTCCATCCTCCACATATACATCATCTGGGCACATAGGGGATAATCCATCACACCATTCTGGAAGATCACATTCATTGACCTCTTTTCTACACATTTTTCCAGATGGTAATAACTGGCAGTCTTTGCAACAAAGTCCAAAAGCACAAGTAGATCCATAAGTCATAGTGCAGTTTGACAGACAACAGGCATCTTTTGCACAACTCTGTAAAGGTCCACAGTCACACTCCTCTTCTTCTTCAACAATACCATCCCCACAACGCTTTCTTGAAAATATATCCTTTGTGTATATATTGTAGAGCATACATTTTGCTTCTATTATAGTATATAGCCAAAGAAAAGAAAGACTACAATTGCTAAATGAAGTTATCGGTGGGTTTGAAGTATGCATTATACATTTTAAGTACCCACATGAACAGTAATGACCATCATGATACATACCCAAATTATGGCCAATATGATGAGCTATTGCAATTGCAATCAAGTTCAGGCTTCTGTCTACATTAGTAATAATTGCACAGCTACGGAGTGGTTGACACATTCCGCTAACAAAACCTAAACCAGTCATTCCTCGTACTGTTTGATTTATAAAAAGATGTGCAGCATCATGTGGCAGGCGGGCAGCAAGGTTATCATTTTTCCAAACACAAAAATAACTCAGAGATCTCCTTATATCATTAACTTCAATGTAGTTTTTTTTAGTCCAGAACTCTATACCAAACAATAACATTTTAATACCCAATACCTCATAAATGGAGTCTACTATATTTATCATCGTATATAGATCTTCATTATACTTTGAAATATTCTTTTTTATATGAAGATATAGAGTATGGTCCACCACCACTACTAGTTCAACAAGAAACATATGGCGCCACCAGGCCACATAATTACTTTGCTTCTGAGTGGAATTATTAATCTCTTGAGACTCCAGTTGGGGTAAAATTTCCTCTTGCACAAAGTCAGAGTACATTTCTGGAAATTCGGTCTCCTCACTCTCCATTTTATATACCAGATGTTCAAATTTAGTAGAAAAAGTCATGGGCTTAATTTCATAAGCAATGCCATTTATCTGTAACAATCCTTGAAAGCCACCAAAACAGTAACTGAGGGCAACCAGGGATTCTGGGTCCCCCTCCACATAACCATGATAGTAGCAGTCATTCTGAACAAAGGGTTGGTCCTCAACGAGAGCACCTTGGTCTATGTAGGTGAACACTGGGAGGTGTCTGGACAGCAAATACTTCTTGACCTTCATGTGGACAATATGTCTCTTGCCCCCAAAATGCAAGCTGTAAGAGAGCCAGCCTGCAGGCTTCATGCCTCTGCCAGTGCCAAGTATCTTCAAAGGAATCACCACTTCTGGGGGACTATGGTATTGGGGGTGCTCAGCCTGGGTGTGTCCACAAAAGGACAGAAACACCCCAAGCCAGTGTAGCAGAAGTATGATTCTCACATCCAGCAGAGCTTTAATCACAGTCATTATGAAATCACCATTATGGAAACATTAGTCCAGAGAAGAAGGCAGGCAAAACTGGGGGTCATAGATGCTCTGGCTTCTTAGCCTGAGATGGTCAGTGTGCAGGGCTAATTATTAAGAATCTGTCTTCTGGCAGAGTTGAACCATTAGAGTATCAGCCCTATAAGTAAAACAAAAAGCAACATGTGGATGAAAGTGTCTATGCCTGGTGGAGAAAGGCATGCAATAAAAGTAGTGTTTTGATCAAGGAAATGACTCAGGAAACTTCCTAGAAGAGGGGCTTAGGGTATGTAGAAGAATGAAAACTGGCCATAGATTTAGAGTTAGTAAACCTAGTACTTTTGGCTAGAACACACACTGCCTTGATAATAATAATAATTCAGTGTGTGAACACATTGTGAAAAAAAAAATAGGGCTGGGAATGATGATGGGAAAATAAGGATTTATTATTCGATAAATATGCATATCATGAACATTTACAAAATAAAACAAAACAAAAGGGTCTTAAGGGTAAGCTGATTATATATTGCTGAGATTGTTTCAGTTTACACATGCTAAGTTGTCATAAGTAATAATACCTCTTCTTTTTTTCAAACTCAAGTGATAAATTACTTATGACATTACCTACGAGACATATTCTTTTAAAAAGCACTCATGTTATTTTTTCATCTCTTTTATGGTGCTTACCATATACCTCCCTAGAGCAAAAATGTTTATTTCAATTTATTTTTTTCTTCCCTACATTATTCTCCTTACTAGGCTTTTCAGACTGGAAATACTCAAGAGCATTATTTGTGTCTTTCACAAATGTTAGTATCTTCTCTAATGTCTATCTTAATTCTTTATATAACAAAAATGTTTGACTTGACTTTTATTGTTCCTTGGAGTGTTACTCAAAAGTGTTTATTACATTTTTAATGCAGAACATTATTTGAAAATTGTGGCCAATTTAGTTTCTGGAACAAGGTCATATAAACTCAGTTTCCTTGTTTGTTCCCTCTAAATATAACTAAATACCCTGAAAATAATTCAATGAAAAAAATAAAACAACCTCTGAAAGCTAAAAATCAAAAGGCAGACTGGCTAGAGACCTCGAGACTTGAGGAATGATAACCAGGTGAATTCACTGAGTTTTCTTTTAATTTCTCATGTATATAATGCAAACGGGGTACTGGAGAGGTCTTTAACACAGAACCACCAGCACAGACAAAAAACTCAAGAATAGTTTGCTCATTCTGAATAAATGACAGAGAATGAAAATGCAACAAAAGACCAATAAGGTGTTCTAGCACCTGCTCTTGAGCCAAGACACATGTGTGATTCAAAGTGGCAACTTCAAAGACTTATAGGCCAATACAAAACAAAACATAGTCCATAGTCAGTACACTAGTTGCCTGTTTAATTCCCCTACTTTGACAATATAATAGCCCTGACAGGCCAGCCTAATCCTCATCAATATCCCAGTAACTTGTTAACTGATCTGCCTTCAGAGGCAGCTGACTATGTAATAATATTTTGTTACTATAATATTAGGAGACTAAAGTAACAAAACACTCACAACTATTATAAGAAAAAAATTGGACTTATTATTTTTTCTTAATAGTCTAGGCCAGATTAGAATAAAGAGTATAAGGAGGAGTTTAGTCAATGTTACTAAACTAAATGGCCTTTAATTTCTAATTAATTATTAATATCAATTTTTCTCAGCATTTACCCAAATAGAATATGTGAGTCATTGTGTTAATTTTGTTTTTATTGAGCAGGAAATAGTAAAGAACAGTTCTATTATTTAGTAATGGTTTAGACTTTGAGTTTATACTTATCTGTTGAACATCTAAATTTTTTTAATTTTTTTTATTCTTATGTTAATCCCCATACATTACATCATTAGTTTTAGATGTAGTGTTCCATGATTCATTGTTTGTGCATAACACCCAGTGCTCCATGCAGAAATGTGCCCTCCTCAATACCCACCACCAGGCTAACCCATCATCCCACCCCCCACCCCTCTAGAACAGTTTGTTTTTCAGAGTCTATCGTCTCTCATGGTTCGTCTACCCCTCCGATTTCCCCTGCTTCATTCTTCCCCTCCTGCTACCTTCTTCTTCTTTTTTTTTTTCTAAACATATATTGCATTATTTGTTTCAGAGGTACAGATCTGAGATTCAACAGTCTTGCACAATTCACAGCACTTACCAGAGCACATACCCTCCCCAGTGTCTATGACCCAGTCACCCCATCTCTCCCACCCCACCCCCCACTCCAGCAACCCTCAGTTTGCTTCCTGCGATTAAGAATTCCTCATATCAGGGGCGCCTGGGTGGCTCAGTCGTTAAGCGTCTGCCTTCGGCTCAGGTCATGATCCCAGGGTCCTGGGATCGAGCCCCGCATCAGGCTCCCTACTCGGCGGGAAGCCTGCTTCTCGCTCTCCCACTCCCCCTGCTTGTGTTCCTTCTCTTGCTGTCTCTCTCTCTGTCAAATAAATAAATAAAAATCTTAAAAAAAAATAAAAAAATAAAAATAAAGAATTCCTCATATCAGTGAGATCATATGATACATGTTTTTCTCTGTTTGACTTATTTCGCTCAACATAATACCCTCCAGTTCCATCCACGTTGTTGCAAATGGCAAGATCTCATTCCTTTTGATGGCTGCATAATATTCCATTGTATATATATACCACCTCTTCTTTATCCATTCATCTGTCGATGGACATCTTGGCTCTTTCCACAGTTTGGCTATTGTGGACATTGCTGCTATAAACATCGGGGTGCACGTACCCTTTCGGATCCCTACTTTTGTCTCTTTGGGGTAAATACCCAGTAGTGCAATTGCTGGATCGTATGGTAGCTCTATTTTCAACTTTTTGAGGAACCTCCATACTGTTTTCCAGAGTGGCTGCACCAGCTTGCATTCTCACCAACAGTGTAGGAGGGTTCCCTTTCTCCACATCCCCGCCAACATGTGTCGTTTCCTGACTTGTTAATTTTAGCCATTCTGACTGGTGTGAGGTGGTATCTCATTGAGGTTTTGATTTGGATTTCCCTGATGCCGAGAGATATTGAGCACTTTTTCATATGTCTGTTGGCCATTTGGATGTCTTCTTTGGAAAAATGTCTATTCATGTCTTCTGCCCATTTCTTGATTGGATTTTTTGTTCTTTGGGTGTTGAGTTTGATGAGTTCTTTATAGATTTTGGATGCTAGCCCTTTATCTGATATGTCATTTGCAAATATCTTCTCCCATTCTGTCGGTTGTCTTTTGGTTTTGTTGACTGTTTCCTTTGCTTTGCAAAAGCTTTTTATCTTGATGAAGTCCCAATAGTTCATTTTTGCCCTTGCTTCCCTTGCCTTTGGCGATCTTTCTAGGAAGAAGTTGCTTCGGCTAAGGTCAAAGAGGTTGCTGCCTGTGTTCTCCTTTAGGATTTTGATGGACTCCTGTCTCACATTGAGGTCTTTCAACCATTTGGAGTCTATTTTTGTGTGTGGTGTAAGGAAATGATCCACTTTCATTCTTCTGCATGTGGCTATCCAATTTTCCCAACACCATTTGTTGAAGAGACTGTCTTTGTTCCATTGGACATTCTTTCCTGCTTTGTCAAAGATGAGTTGACCATAGAGTTGAGGGTCCATTTCTGGGCTCTCTATTCTGTTCCATTGATCTATGTGTCTGTTTTTGTGCCAGTACCATGCTGTCTTGATGATGACAGCTTTGTAATGGAGCTGGAAGTCGGGAATTGTGATGCCGCCAGCTTTGCTTTTCTTTTTCAACATTCCTCTGGCTATGCGGGGTCTTTTCTGGTTCCATACAAATTTTAGGATTATTTGTTCCATTTCTTTGAAAAAAGTGGATGGTATTTTGATAGGGATTGCATTGAATGTGTAGATTGCTCTAGGTAGCATTGACATCTTCACAATATTTGTTCTTCCAATCCATGAGCATGGAACGTTTTTCCATTTCTTTGTGTCGTCTTCAATTTCTTTCATGAGTATTGTATAGTTTTCTGAGTACAGATCCTTTGTCTCTTGGTTAGATTTATTCCTAGGTATCTTATGGTTTTGGGTGCAATTGTAAATGGGATCGACTCCTTAATTTCTCTTTCTTCTGTCTTGTTGTTGGTGTATAGGAATGCCACTGACTTCTGTGCATTGATTTTATATCCTGCCACTTTACTGAATTCTTGTATGAGTTCTAGCAGTTTTGGGGTGGAGTCTTTGGGGTTTTCCACATAAAGTATCATATCATCTGCAAAGAGTGAGAGTTTGACTTCTTCTTTGCTGATTTGGATGCCTTTGATTTCTTTTTGTTGTCTGATTGTTGTGGCTAGGACTTCCAATACTATGTTGGATAGCAGGGGTGATAGTGGAGATCCCTGCCGCGTTCCTGACCTTAGGGGGAAAGCTCTCAGTTTTTCCCCATTGAGAATGATGTTCGCTGTAGGTTTTTCATAGATGGCTTTTATGATATTGAGGTATGTACCCTCTATGCCTGTACTCTGAAGAGTTTTGATCAAGAAAGGATGCTATACTTTGTCAAAAGCTTTTTCTGCATCTATTGAGAGGATCATATGATTCTTGTTCTTTCTTTTGTTAATGTACTGTATCACATTGATTGATTTGCGGATGTTGAACCAACCTTGCAGCCCAGGGATAAATCCCACTTGGTTGTGGTGAATAATCCTTTTAATGTACTGGTGGGTCCTATTGGCTAGTATTTTGGTGAGGATTTTTGCGTCCATGTTCATCAGGGATATTGGTCTGTAATTCTCCTTTTTGATGGGGTCTTTGTCTGGTTTTGGGATCAAGGTAATGCTGGCCTCATAAAATGAGTTCGGAAGTTTTCCTTCCATTTCTATTTTTTGGAACAGTTTCAGAAGAATAGGTATTAATTGTTCTTTAAATGTTTGGTGTAATTCCCCTGGGAAGCCATCTGGCCCTGGGCTTTTGTTTTTTGGGAGATTTTTGATGACTGCTTCAATTTCCTTAATGGTTATAGGTCTGTTC